CGTTGGCAGGACAAGGATCCCGTGACTTGTTTGGGAAGCCCTGACTGTCAAGACCCTTTGGTTTGGATTCTTAATCCCCTTGGCTGTCGCCTTCTCTTCCTTTACAACCGAAAGATGCCCAGCCTGGCCTCCCCAATGCTGGGCTGCTCCCTAGCATTACATTTCCTTATCGGAACGGGCACTCCAGCGATATCTGGGAACAAATGCTTTTGCCCACCCTTTGAGCGTGGTCCAATGGCACGGTAGTCAAGATTTCCCTGGGGCCCTTCCTGGGTGGCTAGCTGGACGGTGGAGGGGTGGGAAACAGGAACTCTTACTTTCCACGAGGCATTTCTCTACTAGGGACGGGAAGGCGAGCTTCTCGGTGGCAGATCTGGTCTAGACAATCCCCGGTCTGATTGCAAAAGGAGCCGGCGACCACACAGGGGCAGCACAGCCTTTTCTTAAGCCGTTCCTCTGGAAACATGTTGCTGTTGGCAGCCGGGCGGCTGGAAGAGCTGAGCCATTCTTGGCTCCTCGAGAGGCCAGCAATTCAAACCATCTGATGTTTCCAAAGGGGAGGGTGTTTGGGTTGGAGGCCAGGCATATTTTGATGTCAGCACCTTTCCCCCCGAGCGGGTGACGGGCCCTTCGGTGGCAACTCCGGCGGAAGCTTTCGTATGAAGGCTTTCTCCTTGGGCAAAACCCAAACGGATGATGGATCTCGTGACTACGGATTGGCCATTAGCCTTTTGCAAACAGAGGCACCGTGAGGACCTGCACAGCAGACAGAAACTAGCTGGTCAAATTTCCTCCTTGGCTTTTATCTCGCAGTGTAGGAAACAAGACCCGCCAGAGGTGCGCCAGGCAGAGAGGACAGGCGGAGCGGCCGGCCTGAGCAGGTTTAGCTGGTGGACACGAGTTCAGATCTCCCGATCTGATAGTCTTACCACTGCTCCAGAGTCCTCCAGGGTTTTCTGGAACTCCTGGTCATTTCTATTTTAAATACTCTTATAATTTATTTATTTTTAAAGCTCAACTTTTTGTTTAAGGCAGGTGTGGCCAGTCTCACATGTGCTTTTAGAAGAGAATCCCATACCCCTGAGTATAAGGTTGAAGTTCTATTTTGGTAACCTGGTAGGGGTGGATGGGACATGATTTCCATTACCGTTGGAAGATGCAACGGGAAGGCTGTGTTCACACAGACGCACAGATTTTGCTTTTTTAAATGCAGTGAACATTTACAAGTTAATGGCCTACAAATCTTTTTTCCCCCTTTTTTCTTGTTTTTCTATTGGAATATCCCATTCCCTAGGTATCCATGTTGGGTCAGGGGCATGCAATCTGGACTCTCCGCCGAGGTCTGACTTTCCCCAGCCTTCCTTCATTTTTCATTCCTCCACACGACTGAGCTGACGAGCAATGCAGCCAGACGGGAGGGCCCTCTTGCGAAGTGAACAGGACACGAGGAGAAAATGCATCGCTCGATACTCTCGCCCAGAATCAGAACGGGATGACTGGGACGCCTGTTTATCACCTGTTCATCCCCGAAAGTCCAAAAACGTTCGTCTCTCTTCAGAGGGAAGAAGCAAGACCAGAGCGTCCTATGTACAGGCTTTCCATGGTTTGGAATCTCAGCCGGGAGGCAGACCATCTTTGCCTGAGCGATCTCTGGATGTAAAGAGTTCTGTGTAGCACAGGTAGCATACATACTTGGAAAATAAGAGATGGATGTCCTAAGCCTGGTTTGTTCTAAGCCCCTGCGTTCATGGATAGTGGTTGGCAGAAGAGGTCTGTTGCTCTTCTCCGGGGAAAAAACTTAATGCGGGAGCAGTTCATGGAAAATCCTGTTGTCTTAGGGCACAAACGCAGTCCCCCCCCCACCTCTCTGACCAGGTAGAACTGCAAGGGACAGTTTGAAATGCCCCAAGCAAGTTGTCTGCTCTCTGCCACTGACCTGCATTCATGTCCTTGGTGCTGTCTCCACAATAAGATAATACTGAAAGATTCTTTTGGCGGGTGGTGGTTGCGATGTTATGGAGAAGGAGAAGAACTGAAACTGATTTTCTTTGCTACCTCCAGATCGGACTTGGCCACTAGAAACCGCAGTTTTTTCCCTCCTGATCGGATGAGGTCTACAGCACTGAGAAGGGAAGAGAAAGGAGGAAAAGAAAAAGCAGTAAGACTCAGGAGCGAGGGAGAGAAATCTTACACTGGTTCATACAGCTGAATCTGTGAACAAATCGTTAGTTACCCTGACAGGACTTACAGCATCTGCTGTAGAGGTCGCATCGTTGGCGCGTCTTAGCGCAAGCTTCTGAGACACTACGGAACTAGCCGCATTTCTTACCTCTGGTAGTCGGAACCAATGAGGCTCGTGCCATTGACGGCAAGGATGCGATCCCCAATGGAGAGCCTACCGTCGGCGGCCGCAGGGCTGTCTTGGATGAGCGTCCGAATGTAGATCCCAGGAGAATTCAAAGGGGTGTGCTGGAGAGAGAAGCAAAGCAGGAGTTAGCACTGACGCAGGAGGGAGAAACTATGGGTTGATTTAATAATGCTTTATACTTAGCACATATTTAGAAACGGTGCTCCTTTAAATAGTGAAAGAGATCTCTTTGTCATAGCATTTTTCTTCATCTCCTTATCTTGCATTTCAGAATGCTTTGTTTTATGATGGGTCATGGAAGATAAACAAGGGCTTAATGCATAGGCCTGATTGCTTAGCCCACAGCTCTGAAGAGATCTTGAGAAACCAGAAAAACACTACCCCCTGTATGTTTAATTACATCCACACTTTAAGCATCCCACACAGAGGCACCTGAGCACCAGTGCTTCAGTGGTCAGATTTTTTTCCCTTTCTTCCTCCCAGCCCTGGGATAGAAGAAAAAGCATTCCCATCATCATTAGTCTAACCAAGAAGGCTAACCGTTTTGTCACCTTTGATCAAATGTCTAGGGCATTTCTTGCTTGTTTGCAGTGGCAACAGGGCCCGTATCTAACCTCTGCTCCTTAGATTAACACAATGAAATGCCGACAACCTAAGAATATTAGAGGATCCGTCCTGGGTCCGATCAAAACACTTCCAATAATTTTGGAGAGGTTACTTTTGGGAGAGAAAATTCCTTCCCTCCGCCAGCTGGTTTAATCATTGGACGTCTTCGTATCATGCAGGGCTAAGGAGCCACGAAAATATTCCCTGGAATATCCTGCTGTTCAGAGCAGGAATGAGGGCCAAATTCCATTTTGCTTAAATTTTCCAATCAGTGTGAACCTGGAGTTCCTAAGTCCACGGGGACCCCGTCCTTTTGCCTCTTGTGACCTTCAGATCTGCTGGACCACACTTCCTACAATCCCCATTTGTGGGCTTATGGAAGCTGTAGTCCAACCTATCTGGAGGACCCCTGATTCGGGGAAAATAGAAATACTCACAATTCCCACTGGACAGCAACTTTGCCGCAGATCTTTGGCCACCTGTGCTACCTGATCTCCGTTGTACCTGGAAATGCTTAGTCTCCTGCATTCAGAACGTGTGGTTTATCCTTGAACACAACCCACAACCCACCAGAAGCCGGGGGTGGGGTGGGGTGGGGGAGAGAGATCCCGGCTTTCCAGCTGGTGAAAAGGAGGCTCACGGAAACCAGCCAGAAGGGACAAACGAAGAGACGGAAGACCCCCATCGCTTACCAGTCCGTCGATCAGTCCCATCCCCAAACCGATGGGCCCCTTTTCAAGTTCCACCACGAAGACGTAGCAGAAGTCATCGGTGGCCGAGCTGCGGCTAGAGGAAGCCGGGGTTGGGAAGTCGTAGGGTGTGGGCGAAGAGCCTGAGGCCAAGAACAAAGATCAGAAAGGCTCCTAAGGGCTTCGGTTCACAGAAACAGCCCTCAATGAAAAAGGCAGTTTCTGCTCTGTGCAGAACCTTGTCCATGAGGTCAAAGATTTATCATGCACCTAATTCTCAGGCGTCCTGTAACCAGCATGCACAAGATTGACCAGGACGGAGTCTGGCTGTAAAGAAATCCTCCTCGTTCTGACACAAGGAGGTACATCGGACGAGCCCGTAGAGTCCAAGGCTGGAAGCTGAGACAAGACGCGGTCCTCCTGATCGGCTCAAGTTCTGGGCTCAACAGGGTGGAGGACTCGTGAGAGGCCTCCAAGCTTCCTCCATCGGGAGGGAGAGGTTTCCAACGGAAGCTTGGAGGAGCTTCAAAAGCCGCGAAGCCTACGCCCGGGAGACCGGGCTTGTGTCGGTCCCAATGAACTTGGCAGGCATTTCAGCCAGCTGCCTCCGTCCAGTGACTCACTCGCTTCCAGAAATGTGAGAGAACGAACGTGTATCACTTTGCTTTTTTCCCCCAGCTGTAGCCCTAGATGTGGAGAGCGCTCGGGCTGGGATTCCCATCCTTGGAAATCATCCTCATCATGTGTTGTTAAGTCAATCCTGCCCCCAGCTGTAGCCCTAGATGTGGAGAGCCCTCGGGCTGGGATTCCCGTCCTTGGAAATCATCATCATCATCATGTGTCGTTAAGTCAATCCTGCCTTATGGCGACCCTTTTCAGGGTTTCCTAGGTAGAGGGGTCCTCAGAACTGGTTAACCCTTCCCTTCTCCTAGGGCCCTCCCAGGACTGTGCAGCTGGCCCAAAGTTTCACAGGCTGGCTCTACTCACAGGTGGCACAGAGGGGAATCGAACTCCCAACCTTAACTCTGCAGCCAGGTTCCTAAATCGCTGAGCGATCCCTGAGAAAGCTGCGTGCAAATACATTAAAACCCATCTGGCTGGCCACTGCCAGAGCAGGATGGAGAAAGAGGAGTATGAACCTTCTAGTTTTACTTTCCTGGACCTCCTGCCACGAAGCTTAAGACTCTCGGTCCATCCGGATCTTTTTCTCGTCCCCTTGATGGCTTCTCTGCGCCCAAGGAGGCAGCAGAGAAGAACCACCAATCGACGTCAAGCTTCCTCCACCCAGGTCTCTAACTGGGCACCAACCTTCCTCTTACCTTCAGGAGTTGTGGTCTTGGCACCACTGAGCCCGTTCCTGCGAGCATCCACCCCACCTTTGCACGGGACGGCCTCCAGGCTCAGCTCCAGGCTCGTGGATTCGAAGGTGAGAGGCGTATTTGGTGGGGTCAACAAGCAGGAGGCGTCTGGCGAGGTCGAAGCGGTCCTCGCGCCGCCCTTCCCCGGCGGGCCCTCCAAACGGAGCTGTTGCAAGGTCTCCGGCAGCTGCCCCTCCCCGGCGTCATACTCCCGGGCGGCTCCGTTGGCGTGGATGATGGGAGGGAAGCCTCCTTCCCCTTTGGGCTCCACGCAGCTCATGGGCCGCCTGCGGTTTGCCCGGCTGCTGTAGGAACTTCCTGCGGCTGCTGAGCCCGTCCTCGTTTCCGAGTCCGCCTGAGGACTGGTTTGACAGCTGATCGTTTCTGTCTTTAAAGGAAAAGCATAAAAGCGGAGGTTCCTCAATCATCCTTTGCCTTCCTCTTTTCAGAGACCCAGTTTTGTCACTTTAACTCCCTCGGCTAGGACGTTAAAGATGCAGTCCAAAAGGTTCCTGCAGGGCAATTGATAGGTCCCATCCCTCAAGCCAAGGAAAAGCCAAGGGTTCAAAAAGTAACTCTCTCTCTCTTTCTTTTTTTTCCGGACTACCAGAGGGTCTGGGCAAAACAGCCAAGAGTCTTGTGACATCCGAAAGACTACCACATTTTATTAGACATAAGCTTTCGTGGGCAGTAGGTCCCCTCCTTCCGTGCGCAAGAGAACAAAACTAACCAAACTTAAGTCTTGGTCTTACGTCTGAAGAAGTGGACTTGGGTGCACCAAAGATCACCTTCAGCCACAGCTGCTAGTCTTTAAGGGACTTTAAGAGAGAAACATTCCTTAACGTTTCTCTCTCTCTCTTGGTTTGTTGCTTTTGCTTTCATTTATTTATTTTTATTTTGTACAACAAAACAAAGGAAACTTATTCATGAGCCGCGCGATGCAGTGGGACTGCTGAGAAGCCTCTGCTCAGGAGCCAAGTTCCATCCTGGCCTCAGACTGATGGCTCAAGGTTGACTCAGCCTTCCAGCCTTCTGAGGTCGGTAAACGGAGGCCCCAGCTCGCTAGGAGAGGGGACAATGCGTAGCCTACGAAATTAAATTATAAACTGCCCAGAGAGTGCTTTAAGCTCTACGGGGCGGTAAAGAAGCCAGCACGCTTTGCTTTGTGACTCTTGCAAGCCAGGTCTTGTTGTCCGGGGGGGGGGGAGGGGGAGACCTCCATGCCCAGAAACAAGCAGCCAGAATCCCAGGGATTTTGAAAGATAGGATCCAGGGCCAGGACACCATTCAGATCACAAAGCACAGGAGGGGAATTGCAAAGCATACTTTTTTTTTGGGGGGGGGCTCACCCTTGTGCTGCGGTCTTGTCCTCACACCAGCCTAAGAGATGACAGGCACTCCAACCCCACAACAAGGGAGCAGAGGGGGTGGTGGTTCTCCACCCCTGTGGAAAAACCGACACCTTGTTGACTAAACAACCCCCCACCGTCCTCTCTTAGCCCAGCTAAGGGGATTATGGAAAGTCTCCTTGCCAGCTCCTTGTGCTTTCAGGTTAGGCGATTAGGACCGCACTAATCCCCTTTCGCTGGGCTTTCTACCTTCTCCCCTATGAAGCATCAGCCGAGAGAGACGCTGTTCGAGGGAGGCCAGGAAGTGCCGAGATGGCCACAGGGGTGGCCCATGGGCTGGTTTATGGGGTCGATTTATTACATTTCTATCCTTTCTCAGAATACCTCACCCTCTAGCAAGGGGAGGCAGATCATTTGGTGGCTCCTCATCCTCCCACACAAGACAGGAAAGGGGGGCTTTGTCTCCCTAAAATATACTGGCAGGAGTGGAACTGGTCAAATCACTCCTTAAATATCTCGCTTACCTTGAAAACCCTGTTAGGGCGGCTACAGGTCGGTTCTGACTTGATGGCACATTGCAAGAACAGAAAAGCATTAAGATACGCCGGGCTGATTGACTATGACTGCCCTAAGGAATGTGGATCGTTTATGGCCGAATGGAGATTCGAACTCAGATCTCCATGGCAGAACACCTCAAACTGCTGTGTTGCAATGGCTCTTCCTAACCTCCATGACTCTTAGGCTTCTTCCCACAATCTGGGGCTAGGTTTGGAACCCCTTCATGACCCTCTTTCGTTCCCACAGTGTGATGGGATCTTGGAAATGCTGCAGGGAAGACCAAGGTGGCTGGCACTCGCTTACTCGCTCGAGCAGCAGGGCAGGGAATCCGCTCAGGTGGGTTAAGGAGGTGGCTCTCGTTACCTTTGGGGGCTCTGCTTCAGGCGAGTCGTTGGGGCGGGGGCTTTTGCTGCGCAAGCTCCACAGGAAGTGGCGGATGTAGAGGAGATGCCGATAAATGTTATCGTCCACGTTGTCCGCCTCCAGGTCCACCTTAAAGCCCCCGCTGGGCAGCATGATCGGGGGGTGGTTATCGAAAGACTCCAGGATGTCATCTGCAGAAGAGACAAGGACCTTGGTTTGACCTTCACGCCACGGACCCAAACACACTGGGTCTCAACAGACTTTGGAAGCTAAGCAGGGTCATCACGGGTTTAATCCTTGGTGGGAGACTAACTGGTAATATCGGAGACCTCCATTTGGGGGGGGGGCAAGGGAAATATCCAGTCAAACACCCTGGCGAGAGGTTGGGGCCAGCGACTACGATGACCTTGGTCTACCTTGTCTTACAAGGTGAGACCAGATAAGACCAAGATAAGCCACCTTCCTTCGCTCTTCTGCCTTCTGATGACATTGCATTTATTCCCAGAAGCCTCTTACAACGGACAGGGGAGGAAATGTGTATGTTGTTGGTTGCAGGAGGCAAGACCGGCACCTCTGGGTCGAAATTTCAGGGAGTTCCTTTTGGTTAAATATAAGGAGATGCTCTCCTGTACTTGCTGTTCAAGAGTGGGGCAAACCCCTTGAACAGAAAGACTCCACCAGGAAAATCAGACCATAGTCTTAGGGCGCAGGTTCCCAACCTTGGGTCAAAGGCTGAATACTCCCTTAGCTTCGGGGAACAAGTTCAAAGAGTACATCATCCTTTATTTGGGAGGCACACACATCAGAGTTTCCATGTAAGATCCTAAGAACAAACCACCAAGGTTCTACTCGTGACCTCACAAGGTGTTGGTTGACCCATGGCCAGCATCAACAAGGGATGTTCTTTTTTACCCCAGATTTCCTTGAACTGAACCCCCTCCTTACACCAAACTACATCTCCCCACCCAGACAACCCCACATTTGTGTATGTATGTTTTGTGTCGGCTGGTTTTGTGTGTATTTTGTAGACTGGCTTAGCGAACCTTTACCGAAAAGCTTGTCTCAGCTACTGGGAGCTGCAGTTTTCCTAAACACTGATATCTGGGCAGCCTCGCCTGTTCACGCCAGCCAGGCTAAAAGCTCCGTGGGGAACAACCGGCAACGAGAATCGGAAAGAGTGAACGCAGGAGAGAGTGACAGCTACGGTTTCCCTTGGGTGAAATTCGGGTGGAATTTCATATATCACATACCTTCTCAGCGGCCGTTTGCCCCCCAAAGGCAACACATTAATCAAATCCTCTCCAGATGGGGGAGGGGAAGAGATCATTGGCAGCCCGTCTAACGAGGCCCCAATGGGACTCTCTGATCATGGAAATGTGACCACGTTAATGCAATGTTGTGAATGCTGCTGTGGCTGGGGAGAAGGGGGGGTTTGAAGCTGATTTAAAATGCTGCAGAGGGTCCAGGGGGCTAGGCTTGCGATGTGATGGGAGTCGTAGTCCACACGAGTAACATTTCCCACCTGGGGCTCGAGGTGATGAATATTTTGCCGCACAGCCTCCCAGAGAGCTGGTCTTTTAATAGTCAACAGAATTGGTAGAAGAGGAGTGGGGTGGGAAGGGGTGGTTAAAAGCATGGGGTGAGAACCTGAAATTCCCCCCCAAGGTTCTCAATGGGGGTCCGTCCTCAGCCGCGCAATATTTTGGTTCCTCACCTGTCCTGAAGGCGGCCAGGCTGTCTTCCTTGCTCGGCTGCCAGACGGGGACGCAACCCACATCGGACAAGGCCTGATACTGGGTGAGGATGTGGTTGAGTTGAGCAGCGTTCAGGGCAGGGAATTCCCCCCTCAGCATAGCCCAGGTCATCTGAGTGAACCAAGAGACGGTCAGGTGAAGCGTCCATGGGATGGCGATCCAGGCAGAGAACATCATAAATGTCAGCCGGGGGGGCCCTGAACCGGGGTGGTTCCTCTGGAACCAGGAGATTCCCTCCCTCCCTCTCGGGAGCACCTCTCACCTGCACCAGCTGGGAATTCGGCATGGCCAGCAGGCTCGCCACGCTGGAGAGCTTGCTGAAGAACTGGTCCGCCAGTTGCCCAAAACCCACGCTCTGGGCCCATTCCAGGAGAAGCCGCAAGGTCGCCCTGACCCGCACGCCTTTCGACCAGTGGAAGCAACCCAACGAAGAGCCTGGGGACGATGGAACGACACAGAGGGAGGGTCATGTCATTTTACTGGCGTTATTATGTGCACAACACTTTTCAAGGAGCATTCTTGATGCACCCATGCGGTGGAAGCTTAAAACCATAGAATGATGGACTAAACCTGTGGTGCCCAACCTTAGGGGGGCCCCCAGATGTTCTCAGACTGCAACTCCCAAAAGCCTTCACCACCAGCTGTGCCGGCCAGGATTTCTGGGAGATGTTGTCCAAGAATATCTGGAGACTCGAGGTTGGGGAACCGCTGGACTACATGAACCTAAGGCCAGGAAAAATCAGAACCGGGGCAAAACTAAAAGGGAAAGATTCATCATCCACCGTCTCCGCCAGACCTACCAAACCACCAGCAGCTGCTCCTTGGTGGTTCCCATGATCCCAGTGCGAGGTAAAGCCCTCCCAGTGCCCTTTGGTATAAGACACAGCATTTCCATTTTTTTGAGAAATGAGTTTTTCCAGCCAGGCTAATGTAGGAAAGACGGTGGTCCTTGGGAAGAAGGATTAAAAAGCCAAGGAGGCCTTCTCCACTGAGCCACAGGTCGGAGGAGCAGTTTGCCACCGGAAGGGCTGCTGACCCCAGGCCGCCCTATGCCACCGCCCTCCGGACTGCCCACGCACCTTTTTCCATCAGCTGGTTGAAAAGCAAGGTGTTGGAGAAGAAGAACAGGTAGGCGAACATCTGGGAAGCGATTTCTTGGTGGACCTCGTACTGGCGGAGGAGGTCCCGGCTGGCTTGGTAGATCAGCACCACTTTGCGGATCTCCTCCGGCAGCGGGGGGGACGAGAGCCAGCCCTCCCGCCCTTCGCTCTGGAACGGGTTGCATTCCAACAGGGGAGGCAAAGACACATACAGAGACTGAAAAGTGCAGAAGAGAGAGAGAGAGAGAGAGATGTCAGGGTTCCCTTATTTTCTCATCCCATGTATAGTACAGGAGGTTCCCCTTCTTGGCCTGAAAGCTGGAAAGAGCCCCTTTCTGGGATTCATTGAGGATCCATTTCTTTATTCGATCTCTACGTCGCCTGCCTGGCTACAAGGCCACTCTGGGCAGTTCACAAGTCTTAAGAACCAGAATGGGCCTGGCTACAAGGCCACTCTGGGCAGTTCGCAACGTCTTAAGAACCAGAATGAACACTTGAAATAAATTTAGAACATAATAGCAGTAAAAAGAAAAATCTAAGAATGAAAAACCAGCATAAAAATAAAAAGACAAGTTGGTGAAATGGATAGCTTAAGTGCTTGATAGGACCTCTGCACTCGAATGACGTAATATCTGGGAAAGCCGGTCTTGTTTTGTGTGTGTGTGTGTGTGTTGGAACCCACTTATAGTCACCCTGAGAAGGTTTTCAAGGTAAAGGAGGTATTTAAGGAGTGCTTTTACCCCTTCTATTCGCCTAGTGAGTTTCCATGGCTGAGCGGGGATTTGAACCCTGTACTCCACCGCCCTAGCCTGGCACTCCATTCCCGACACAACCACACCAGCGATCCTGGGATCATAACCACCTCTTTAATGCTGCAATGCAGGGGCTTGGGAGGAGCCCTTAGGAATACCAGCATGCCCGATCATTGGCAGAGGAAGAGAAGAGGGAGGCAGGAAAGACCCAGAAACAGCTGAGAAAAGAGTGGGGGGGAGTGGAACACCCCAAGGCCGCTTCCCAGGCAGGAGGCCCCAATCCTGCCATGAGCCCTGGGGGCGCAAGTCAGAGTCACTGCAAGCGTGATCGCTTTCTCCAGATGCCAAGGGTCTCCACCCTTCAGGGAACAAATGCTCTTTCTTTCCCCTAGCATACTGCATGCACTGTTTGAGTTTTCTCGAAGCAAGTGGTCCTCTCTTTTTATTTATTTATTTATTTTAGGCAAGGGACGCAAGGCAACGTGTCGAGAAGCATGACACCCACGTCCCTCTGCAACCGAGATCAGAGGGCCAGGCAGAGCAACACGGCCAGCCCATCAGTTACCCATAGATGCCAAGGGTCTCCACCCTTCAGGGAATAAATGCTCTTTCTTTCCCCCGACACACTGCATGCACTGTCTGAGTTTTCTCGAAGCAAGTGGTCCTCTTTATTTATTTATTTATTTATTTTAATTTTTTTAGGCAAGGGACGCAAGGCAACATGTCAAGAAACATGACACCCACGTCCCTCTGCAACAGAGATTAGAGGGTCAGGCCGAGCACCCACAGAGCACTTGTAACAAGAAAAGACGGTTTGTTTCTTCGAACCCAAGGTCGGCTCAGTTGGCACTCGGCAGAGGGGCCTCCTTTTGTTTTGCAGCTGGTCCACTGGGAGAGAGCACAGCTTTCTTTGATGTCTCGGGCACCTAGCACTGGAAGATGTGCGTGCCTGGAGGGAAAAGGCTGCCAGGGGTTGAAAAATGGATTTGCATTGGCTTTAATGTGTGACCTAACCCGATGGTTCCCAACTTTGGGTCCCCAGTTGGTCTTGGACTAAAACTCCTGGAAGCTTTCGCTGTGAGCTGTGCTGGCCAGGATTTCTGGGAGTTGTGGTCCAAGAACATCGGGGGGGGGGCAAGGATGGGAACCACTGATCTAACCCAGAGAGAGAAGGAAAGAGAGAGAAGTCAAGAGAGAGCTGGAGAGGTCCCCTCACACAAGGACCTTTAGTGGTTTTGGCTGCAGAACGAGAGGTTGGGGAGTTCAATTCCCCACTATGCCTCCCGGGAGAAGAGCCAGCCTAGGTAGCCTTGGGTCCAGCTGCACAGTCCCAAGGCTGCCCCCTAGAGGAAGGGAAGGGTAGAACACTTCTGACTATTCTCTACCTGGAAAACCCTGGAAAGGGTCTCCAGAAGTTGGAATTGACCTGACGGCACGCAATTATTATTCTTAAGGCCTGTTTTAGGGGTTGAGATCAGAGCCCTAACAAGGAATTTGTTTGGTTAAGCTTGGGTCTCATGACAGCAGTCACAGGCAGGGAAAGAACGGAAGAACGAGGAGGAACGGCCTGGATCCGGGCCCACGGCAGCCATATTGATTCCACCCTACTGAGCTACCTGTTATGTGTTTCTACTCCCTGGGGATGAATGGCTTTCCCAGGATTAGCAAAGCGACCACTTGGGGGGTGGGGTGGGGGTTGCCTATTTCAAGAGAGAAATATTTGCACCCTCTACATTTTGGCACCCGGGGTCAAAGCCACCGTCTCCTCATTCTCTAGGAATGGCTCCGATGAAGCGTCCTTTTATTAGACAGAGGAAGTGACCCACTTTTGCTTGCCAAAATCTTAGAAAGCTTACAGTAAAAATGAGGCGAGGGAACGAGATCTACTGTGCAAAGCGCACCCCCCGCTAGATGCCTGGGGGAGGCACAATTTGCATTTTGGAGCAATTGTATTCTTTTGATTTTGGGAGGGCTTTCTGGGGTTTGTGGTGGTCGAAGAGGCTTAAGGAAGCCACTTTGGCCCTCCCGGGAAGTTATATGCAGCCGGATTATTTATTTATTTGTTTGTTTGTTTGTTTGTTTGTTTGTTTAGTGCATTCACGGCTGACTTAGAGCAAAACACTATTCAGGGCAGTTTATAGCAACTTCCTAGATCAGTGATGATGATGATGATGATGGGTGATTTGATTTGATCCAACCACCCAGGAGTAAGCGTCTCAGATAATTATGGGATGCCTTCTATTTGGCAAGTTCCACACTGCACTGGCCCAGCTGCTGTTCAGCCCAAAAGGGGCTACTCCGTCCCATGAAACGAGAAATTGTTTTCGACAGAGTCTCACATCACCCGGGCGCTGGTGCGCCGGCCGATGCGCTGGCCAGCTCCTTCCCCTTTGTGTTTTTCTATTCTTAGCCCCTCAAAGTGCTCTTCCCGAAATGCATGGCCGCTTTCTCAAGACCTCACAAAGACGGCCCCGGATTCGAAGAGCGCTGTCTCTTGTCCCCGGGCAACGGGGTCCATCGCAAGGAGCTTTTATCTCCCCGACTCCTGTCACAAGAACCACCTATAGGATGTTTCTGCGTCTTTGAATGACATGATGCTCAGGTGGAAGGGGCAGCCTGCTTTTCAGCCCAACTTGTGTGGTTTTTCACTAGGATTCAAGGGAACTGCATTTGAATCCCCCTCCACTGGGTCATATAAACTTCATCTGTGGATGTGTGAAACTGGGAAAACCACTTCAAACATATGACTTGCCTTGAAAGATGTGTGAAACTGGGAAAACCACTTCAAATATATGACTTGCTTTATCATCATCCTCAAGTGCCATCAAGTCAATTCTGATTTATGATGATCCTCTGCAGGGTTTTCTAGAGTTTTTCAGGTAGAGGATACTCAGAAGTGGTTTCCCCTTCCCTTCCTCTAGAGGGCAACCTTGGGACGGTGCAGCTGGCCCAAGGCCACCCAGGCTGGCTTTTCTCCCAGGAGGCACAACGAGGAATTCGAACTCCAAACTTCTGGTTCCACAGCCAGATAGCTAAAATCTGGACCTTCCCAACCAGCTGAAAGCCTGAACAGAGTGACAGCCACACCCCAAACGCAACTGTTCTCCCTCTTTATATCAGCCTCCTGAGTAGCAGATAAAGGCTGGCAACATTTTGTTAGAATAAAAGGAAAAGCAGCTACAGTACCTACCTGCAAAGCAAAGCTGCTAAAAATATTGTAAATAAACTTTTTTCTGCATTTAACCTTCCCTGGATTTTTCAAATGAACGCCTCGTGCCTCCCTGCAATGGCTGCCTGCAAAATGTCATGAGCCCCAAAACACATCTGTGGGGGTGCTCCGAGTTTCCGCGTCCCCTTTCCCCCCCTTCTGACAGCTTTGTCACCGCTGGTGACAGTTGCTCTGGCCATGCGCAGCTGCCTGCACGCATGGTGCAGTGCTGGCGGAGCAAAGCTGCCATTGCCATGACTTTGTGTGTGTGTGTGTGTGTGTGTGTCTGTGTCTGTGTCTGTGTGTCTGTGTCTGTGTGTGTGCGTGTGCGCAAAGGATGGCTTCCTCATGCACGGTGCAGCCATCTGTGCAAGCCAGCTCAAGCCTAGTGACGCAGTCATTTATCTTCTCTGCCCCAATCTGCCTTGACTTTGTGTGTGTGTGTGTGTGTGTGTGTGTGTGTGTGTATGTGCATGTGCGTGTGCGCAAAGAATGGCTTCCTCATGCACGGTGCAGCCATCTGTGCAAGCCAGCTCAAGCCTAGTGACGCAGTCATTTATCTTCTCTGCCCCAATCTGCCTCTCTCTCTTCACTGGTGCTGCTGGAGCAGTCAAATGAACCAGCAGAATTCTCGACTAGACCACCGAAGGCAGAGATCGTATTTCCAAACTTTCTCCAAGTCCCTGCAGGTAGAGAGGGTGCAGCCATTTTCCCCTGACATGCTAGCTTATTAAATGCAGGGTAGCGGATGCCGATCGGAGTGCTGTAACTCCCTGGCGCCTTCCAGGATGCAAAAGAAGTCTGTGGCTGAAGGTAGGCTTTCTGCACCTCCCTAGAGTGAAGGTGGCACCTGATGAGAAAAATCTCACCCGAGGATGAGGCTTCTGGGGCGTCGTGAGAAATAAAGTGCACACGGGACAATGCACAGGTTGCAAAATGCAAGGGGCTGAAATGCACACAGATGCATTCTACCTGCTAAGGCAGAAGGCACAGCCAGGAAAAATACACAAAGATGTGCCCATATTTCTATGTGAAACACTTTCGACAAAGTCTCGCAACCCTGCCGGAGAAGGACAGGAGGAAAATATAGCTGAGATGCAGAAAATAAAACACAGTGAAATTGAGATGGAGGGGCTGCCGCAGCAGCCTTAATGGCCATCCTGTGCAGACCTAAGTGAGAAAAATCTGGGCTTTCACTGCCTCTGTCCAAGAGCCATCTACGAAGCAACATCGTTATTCTGCTGGACAGGGTTTGATTCCACATTCAGCCCAGTGAGTTTGAGGGCATTGCAGTCAGAGCCATAGCTTTGCAATTCCAGCCTCCGAGGCTTGGTCGTCCTATCAATTAAACTGGGTCACGTGAGACTGTCAAACACGGGTGGAGTAGAGGAGAATGAGGAGATACTCTTTCATTTGTGTGGCTTTACCGGTGTGTTTCCATGTCCGAATGGGGATTTGAACCCAGGTCTCCTAGTCTGGTTTCATATCCTGTACACACAAGCTTACAAGTAGCCGGAGAACATACCATGGATTGTGTAACTTCAGACTATAGGTAAGAGCTGCCATTTAAAGAAATTTCCCCTACATATTAAAAAACAAAAACAAAACGCAGCTGGAAAACTAGTATCATAAGGAGATATACTTTCTTCCTGATGTGCTTGTTTTCTACTTGCAATGCAAAGAGGAAAGGCTTTTGGGGGTGGGGGTTGCATGAGGGAAACCTTCAAAATAGGTAACCGTCACCTATGGTCTCCTCGGGTAATGGGTTTTGGTTCATTCTCCGGACTTCACCACACACCCAACCTCCTCAGCCTCTGTAGTGAAAATATGCACCTTGGAGATGTAGTAGACACACTGTTGAAAAGTGTACATGATAACTTCCTCGAGAACCGTCATGGCTTCCTCGCTGGCCGTGATTGTCAGGGAAAAAAGAGATTCCTTCGAACCTAAAAAGAGGGGAAAGAAAATGTCAAGCCAGAGCCCCAGATTGTGGAGTGGGAGCTGAGGATTTGTTTCTGCGCAGATTTATTATTTTAGTTATTTACCTCTTTCTCTCCCACCGAAAAAAAAAGGTCCCCACGTCAGCCCACCAGCAGACTGACTCAAAAGCCCATTACAGTGGTGCCCCACATGACGATGATAATCCGTTCTATCAAAATCGCTGTACAGCGAAATCGTCGTCATGCAAAAATAAACCAAACCATTGGAATGCATTGAAAACCGGTTAATGCCTTCCAGTGGGGAAAATTCCTGCCCATCCAGCAAAGATCCTCCATAGGGCAACCATTTCGTGAGCGCCAATCAGCTGTTTTTAATGCCTGTCTTCCAAAACAAGGGTTGGAAAACAGCGGGAGGCCATTTTAGAAACCCGACGATCAGCTGGGAAAATCGTTATCCAGTGAATAAAACGGTTCCCGAAGCAGGGACCTAATCATTGTTAATTAAAAAAACCCCATAGGAACCATCGTTCACTATAGCGATCGCAAAAAAGTCATCGTCGAGTGATTTTGTCGTCATGTGGGGTCGTCGTCATGCGGGGCACCACTGTATTCTGGAAGACTCTGTGTCCCTTCCTGAGCCGCTAGCTTTCAACAAGCGGGGGAGAGGAGGGGGAGCAGAGGCCAGGAAGAGCGAGTGCGTGAAGATGAGACGGAGCTGCACAATGGAGGATGTAGTCAGTCTTAATCCATTGAGTTATCAGCCCCCCTCTGCGCTGGAAGCTCTCGTGATTTTGAGAAGGAGGATTATTTCCCTTCTCAAGAGGCAACAGTTTGCTATCAAGATTTGGGTTTTCCACTGACATTAGCAAGCGTTTGTAAAAAAAAAATCATATATGAACAGCACGGCTGCACAACCCAAAAAGTATTTGGATGGTGTATGTAATGGGACAGAGGTTGTTTGAGGCTCAGTGGAAATGTGTGTCCGCATAATCCTCGCCCCTGCCAGTTGCAAATTGGCTTCCTTTTGTTCAAGAATCATTTGGAAGGCCCTAAACACTGGCTTTGCAAGTCTAATTGCTCAGGTGTGACGTTTGGAAGGAGCTCGGTCCCTGGAGGGAAAACCTGCTACGATCCGCTTCGAACTGCGAAGCTGGTATCTTTGTGTCATTTGACCCAATGCATAACATGAAAGTGGATAAAATCCAATTCTTCTCCAGCGCACGGTTTGAAGGAGACTTTCGATACCCCGACCACAGAGCAGCCCCTCTTTCCAACCTCCCACCCGACGGGCCAGGGTCCAAATCTCTTACCTTTGATGTCCAGATCCTCCTCCATATTTTGGATGTAAACGGGGGATTTCTGCTGGACGAAGTAGAGGATTTCGATGGAGTTCGACATCCAGAAGAGGATGTGCTGGAGATCCGGCAAGAGGTCCGTGATGGTGAAGCGGGAAAGGGAGGCAGGATCCTGGCTGACGAAGCAAGGGAAGAGTTAGAAGGGATCCCAGCCAAGCCAAAGACCTACCTCCTTGCATTGAACCCTCTGTAGGATCGTGGCCCCTCTGTCTGCTCCATAACAAGGAATGGATTCCGTGAGATATTTTGAAAGTCATAATACAGTGGTGCCTCACTTAACGAGGATAATCCGTTCCAGCGAAATCGCTGTACAGCGAAATCCTCGTTAAGTGAAATAAAAAATCCCATTGAAACGCATTGAAAACCTGTTCAATGCGTTCCAATGGGCTGAAAACTCACCATCCAGCGAAGATCCTCCATAGGAGGATCCTCCATTTTCGGTGCCTGTAGAGCGAGGAATCCGTCCAAAAACACAGCGGGGAGCCATTTTACACAGCGGGCGGCTATTTTGAAGCTGCCGATCAGCTGTTTTAAAATCGTCGTAATGCGAAGAATCGGTTCCTGAAGCAGGGAACTGATCGTCGCAAAGTGAATTTTGCCTATTAAAACATCGTTTTGCGATCGCAAAAGCGATTGCAAAACAGTAATCGTATAGTGGTTTCATCGTTTAAAGAAGCAATCGTTAAGCGAGGCACCACTGTAATAGATATCCCATCTGTGGTTCACATGTGAAAAGGTTTTTTTTCCCTTTGGGGTTCCTGGTCTCTCTCTCATGCTCAAATGTGTCATGCACACACACACAGTCCAGATCCAGATCCCTGGATCAGAACCCTACTCCTTACATACACTGGCGTTGGAGTCCAATGTCAGTCATCTCGACAGCAGTATAGCAAGGATTACAGGACAAAAATTTCAGACTCCGACTCCTGAATCCCCAGACAGTAGGGCCAACAGCCCTGCCAGCTAGGGATTTCTCGGTGCTGTCGTTCCAAAAAAAAAGTTACTTTTTCCAAGCTAGGCTCTACGGCTGTGGCCTCTGTGAACAACGCATTAGCTCACCCTGCGTTTTCTCTCTCTGCAGTGTATTCTATCAGGCTGGCCATCAAAAAGTGCTAAAAGTGACTCATTCAGATCTGGAGGGAGTAGGGAAACCCCATTCGGAAGCTCTTCTCTAACACTACACCACACTGCTTCTACCTGGAAGCTTTAAAGAAAGAAATGAAATGAAGATCTTTCTCTCTCCATCCACCTTGCATTGATAAATATGTATCTGTCAGTATTCTACACCATCCCACTCAGTGTATGCAACAGCTCTTCTTAAAACAAAGGCTGTCCTAGTTCACTCATGTTTTTTTCCCCTTTCTTACCTGTCCTAAAATGTTTTTATCTTTTTTTGGAGGGGGAAAAGACATCAGAAGAACAACCCAAACCTCTTTGCTTTAACCAGTCTCCTTTGACTGTGCCTATGCTACCCTCTGCTCTGCTCTGTCTTCCGGGAGAATGCCATCAGAGATGTTTAGAGGAAAGAGAGAGAGAGAGAGAGAGCAGCCGAAAGATAACGGCACCTCTACAAGTGTATTTTACAGACGCTGCTCAAACACGATAAGGAGGCACAAGCAAGAAACCGAGGAAGAAAACCGTACGGATTTTTCATGACTGGGGATCTTAAAAGAGATTTCCAACTGGGCGGCCCAATGGGACAGCATTCTTGCCTTCAGCTCAACTCTTGAGAAGTTGGACGGAGACGTGCGGATGGAATCTCCACTCTTGGATGGAGAAGGGTTTAAAGAGAAAAGGTTGGCCGATTTCCTAGATGTCTGAAATGGCTGGAGAAATGCCTGGAATCGTTGCAAGGACCTCTCATAGCGCAAGGAGGAGACGAGGAAATGAGTCAGAAAGACTTGAAGGGGCATCTCCTTCAACAGATCTCCACCTAGACCTGAAGGTCATCTACTGCATGAGTCTCTCCACTCTGGATGTCCCCACCAAACGAGTGAGCACGGCCTTTTCAATGCTGGCACCGACTCAGAGGATTTCCTTCCCGGAGCAGTCCTCCGTATCTCTCTCTCAAACTGCAGAGCAGCGGATTTCCCCCGTGCCATTTGCTCAGTTGAAATCCGGCCAGATCTGGACACAGACCTTGGAAATAATACTTTAGATTTTACCGGCTAACATTAAAATCCCAACTTTGTACGTTAACCGGAGGAAGGCATTTTGTTTTTGATAAATCGTATTCTGGAAGCAACATCGGACGTGTGGAAAAGATCCCATTACAGACATTGTTTCTGAGGTGCATGGATTGGTTTGTCCTCCTGTTAATGCAGAAGGAACGGTTTCAGTGTCACTGCGTCAAATCGAATGCGTTCTTTCCGAGTTCTGTAAAATGTGAGCGGAAATGCAGTCCAGGGCAGATGACTCAAATTGCCCGGGGGGGGGTTTACAGAGTGGTCTTTTGGTCAGCAGGTGAAGCTCTTCTTAGGGTGCCTGATGGGGCTGGCCCTACCGTTCGCTTGAGTGGGGCAGCTACCTCTGGAAAAAGATGGTGGTAAGAAGGAGAGCAATGGTGGCACCCATCAGCTCTTCCTCAACCCCCCCCAACTTTTCCACTTTCTTGTAGGACAGAATTGCATGCATCACACAGCTTTGTCCACCACTTCCTCAACAGATCCTAAATTGCTCCGAGACATGGTAGAAAGCAGGTGGTCCCATGGCCGGTTCTTCCCTTCATGGGACAGGAGGGGCGTGCAAACACCCTTGTCCTCAGACGGCAAAACACCATGGGTCCGCTCTATTTCTAGGCATCTACTCTTCTGGTTTTAAACCTGTTTGGTGTCCTGAGAACCTCACAAGGCTGCCATCCTCTACTTTAAAAAAAAGACTTTGCTTTTACAGAGTTTTTCCAGATGGAGGGCTCCGGGCACTGTCAACTGAAGGTCACTTGGCAGCGATGCCAATTTTTCCTCCATTAGAGATTATTTTTGTGGGAAGGGGGGGAAAACCCCCAAACGAAGAGAACTCAGTGTTGAGATGCTGATATGAAAATGTACTAAACATTAATGTTGTATAGTTAAACGTAAAATGGCTTATTTTTATCTGAGTCACTGTACGGATTGTATTCAGGTGTGGGTATCGAGGATTAAGACTTAATGTTGTGTCTGTGATGAAACTTGGTACAACAGAAAATGAAGTCATGTATTTTCTGGCCGGTCACAGAACTGTACACGGGTCGTGTGTAAAATGAATGTCTCTATCTGCTGTAAGTCAAATCACTTTTTCCTATGCTGTGTGTGGCTTCTTGTCATGTCATTCTGCCAGAGGAATGTCTATTCTCTATGTATATATGTAAATAGACTTAAATTGTTGGTTTTACTCTCTCAGTGTCATAGTGTCATAAGTATCTCTGCTGATCAATATCTCCTTACTCTGCTGATGTTGTGAGAATACATGTGGAAGAGAACATGATACTATGTTGTAGGAAAGAAGGATTACAAGTGAAATACAACATTTTCTGGAATGTTTAGGGGAGAAATGGCCTTTCTGGATTACAATCCACAGAATTCCAGGAATCTCATTGCAAAAATGGAATTGGTTGTTGTAGGTTTTTCAGGCTGTCTGGCCATGTTCGTGAGGTTTTTA